AGAGAGAGAGAGAGAGAGAGAGAGAGAGAGAGAGAGAGAGAGAGAGTCATATCTTAGTATCTGATTGGCCAAGGTAAACAGATTAAGTCACCAGAGATTTCAGCTAAGAGTGTGTGTGTGGTAGGGGCTGGGGGTGAAGGTGGGATGGAGACATATGGAAAAAATTGGACCTAAATATGACTTAACCTTATCTAAAATTATGTACTTATCAGAGCCAAATCATTTTAATATTAAAATACTTATTAGACTGTGCTGCATTTAGAAGTAATAGAGTAGTATACAATCTTACCGTATGTTCATCTTCCAAACATAAAGTCTTATGCTTGAGAAAGCTCCTGTTCTTTAAGTAAGTCTTAAATATGCACTTCTTAGCTGAAATTATATATGTGGGTCCCTTTTTACACTGAGGGTTATAGCAGAAAGCAAGGCACATGCAGTTCTCTGAAGTTGCTGTATGATAGTTAATTGTATAATGGAAGTTGTTAATGTATAAAGGAATGGCCTGTTAGGTAGATAAAGGAGATGGGGAAGAAAAGGTAAAGGAAGAGGGTTGATAGTATGACGGGGGTGTGAGGAAGATGGGAGAGAGCAAGGGATGATGTCTTTCTTTGGTGAGGCCCCCGTTAAGTTGTATGTGAGCTGAGGCGCACGCTCCAGGGGGAGGAGCAGGGAATGCGGAGATCCGCACCTGCACGTGGTCAGTGTGATGGAGGCCCTGCAGCTTTCTCAGGGCTGGAAATAAATGAACATGAGAAAGAAGCGGTGTGTCCAGGAATCAAGGGAGTAGGCTCCAGGGCCTTCTATGGCACCATGCAGACTTCAGATGCTATATTAAGGGTACTGAAAAGTCATCAAAAGTTTTGAGCAGCGGAGCAGCTTGGTGAAACTTCCACGCGTGACGGAGACGATGACCATGAGCCAGTCATGCCACGTACTCATCTCGTGGTAGACACTAAGCTGTCTGCATTCATCATCTCACTCAGTCTTTAGCTTTGCTATCTGATAGTGGTCACTGTGACTGTTTTTACAGGATAAAGGCAATACTGTCTGGTCATGAATCACTTGCCTTTTGCCACAAAAATAGTAAGTGGTAGAGCCAGACTTTATCAAATGCTATTCTAAATTCCTTTCATATCTTTCATAGAGTATCACAATAGAGACTCAAGATATAATTATCTTTCTTCATTCATTTTATATCAGTCTAACTAATCCAAAGGATTAAGACATAGTTTGTTACAACTTGCTGATTTTTTCAGACATTTAAAAAGTATGTTATTTTCATACACTAAAATGGTATCTTTCTATTAGAGAAAAAATATATGTACACGAGCCACCCTAAAAAGAAACTTCCTTATCAAGTAACCTCTATAGAAAATGAGTTCTCAATCTGTAAATTCACAAATATATCTCAGCATCATTGGTTTTCTTAGTAATCTAGGAAAATATGTATGTAGTCTAATCTAAGTATGTAGCCTTTTTCAACACATTCAAAAATGTTGTTCCAAGAGGGGTTGAGAGTTTTCCTCTGACTGCTGAAGGATATGGAGTATGAGATCAAGTCAGCAATGATTCTCATGAATTTACCTGAATCCTAGAAGGGCTGCTCTAAGCACTACTGACTTATTACATTTTAGAGTAAGGGAGAATGGGATGCTTACATGCCAGGGCTCCCAAGGAGGCTGCAGCTCAGTGGCCACCTCTGCCCATTTGCCCAGCATTGTTCTGATTTAGATCTTTGTCTAGGTGTAATGCCACATATTGTTTCTTTTACTCTTAGGGGTGTCCCAGGGGAAGCATCATACTGGAAGCTATAGCTGTTTTCAAGAAAGCAGGGTGATGGTTGTAGCCAACTGAATGTTGTGTCTGATCCCTGTAGTAGAAACTTTCAAACTCCTGTGTTCAGACTTACTGTAATAATTAATGGGTGCAATTAAATTGTAACATTACAACATTACACAGGGTGGGGTATGGTGGAAGAGAAAAAATTTAATCATAGTTATTTTTCTTTTTCAGCCAAAAAGGAACATAAAATGGAAGAAAGTCACTTGGAGAATGCACAAAAGAGGTAAATAGTTCTGATTTGAACCCAATACTTTGTTTGATGTATATCCTATATATTTTTATTTAGTATGCTTCTACTGGCATTGCTTGCACCCACCCATCCATCTGCAAACATTTTCATCTTCTTCAACTGAAACTCTGTACCCCTTAAGCACAAAGCCCTCATCCCTCCTCTCCCCACTCTCCTTCCTATTCCTGTGACATTGACTGCTCTAGGTACCTCATATAAGTGCTGGAGCCATGTAGAATTTGTCCTTTCATAAATGGTTTATTTCATTTTCATGACACTTGGATGCTCATTTTTGTCCCCATGTGTTGAAATTATGCCTCCATTATTGAAGAGGATATTAGAAAATGCCAAGATATCCCTTGCTTATGGATAGGAAGAACTAACATAGAAAAAATGGCCATACTCCCAAAATTGTTGCCAGATTTAACACAATCCTAATAAAAATACCATTAGTATACCTCAGAGAACTAGAGAAAACAGTCCTCAAATTTATCTGGAACCAGAAAACACCTGGTACTGATAGCAAAAGCAATTGTGGGTAACAAAGGCAAGGCAGGAAACATCACAATCTCTGAACTGAAATTATACTACAAAGCTACTGTGATAAAATCAGCATGGTATTGTCAAAAGACAGACTTGAGGATCAGTGGAACAAGACACAAGATGCAAACTCAACTCCAAACACACCAGCCACCTTATCTTTGACAAAGGAGCCAAACATGTTCTCTAGAAGAAAGGTAGTCTCTTTGATAAATGGTGCTAAAAAATTTGGCTTTCAGCATGATAAATGCACCACACTTCAATCAAAATGGATCAAAGATTTAAATATTAAAATAGAAACACCTGATCTTCTAGAGGAAAAAGTAGGTAGAAAATAGGCTGAAATCTTGAGGATCACATAGGTGTACATAGAAACTTTATGAACAAGACTGATGCAACATGGGAAATACTACAAAGAATTGACAAATGGAATCTCACCTTATTAAAAAGTTTTGCACAACAAAAGAAATCACCAACATAGTAAAAAGAAAACCCACAGAGTGGGAAAAAGTGATAGCTGGTTGTCCCTCAGACAAAGGACTTTTATCCAGAACACAAAAAGAATTGAAGGGCTGGGCAGATAGCTTGGTGATCTAAGCAACTTCCTGGCAAGTGCAAGGATCTGGGTTCGATCCCCAGGGCCGCATGCTGTGTTGGGCCCTGGGTAACCCTGGGCATGCCATGCTGTGACTGCTACCAAAATCAGATGTGATGATACACGCCTGTAGTCCCAGCTCTGGGGAGGCTGAGAGAGAAGGATCACTATGAGTCTGAGGGAGACCCTGTATCACATAAATAAATAAATTAAATAATTAATTTTAAAAGAATTGAAAAAATCAGGTCTTCCAAATTCAAAGACTCAATCCAAATATGGACATCTGAGATGAATACATACTTCTCAGATGAAGAAATACAAATGGCAAATAAATACATGATAAAATGTTCAATGACATTGGTTATTTAGATATACAAATTAAAACAACACTGAGATTTCATCTTATTCCAGAGAGAATGTCTATCATCAAGATGTCAACCAAGGGCCAGCCAAATAGCTCAGCAGAGTAAAGTGCCTGCAAGCAGGCTCAGGGGCTGTGGGTTCAATCCCCAGGCCTGCTCTGCCGGCACCGCCCCTGGAGTGCACTGAGATGGCAATTGAGACTGGGCGTGGTGGTGTGTGCCTGTAATCGAAGCTCTTGGGAGGCTGTAAACAGGTGGATCACTACGAGTCCGATTGAGTGTGAGACCCTGAATACTGTGTAAACCCTTCACTAAAATACAAAAAAATAAATAAATAAATAAAAAGATGTCAACCAATAACAAATGCTGGAGGGGCTGTGGGGAAAAAGTAACCCTTCTCCACTGTTGGGGGTACAGACTGGTGCAACCAGTATGTGTAAACCAATATGGAGTTTCTTCAAAAAGCTAGGATTAGAGGTCCCAGTTGACCCAGCTACTCCTCTTCTGAGTATCTTCCCAGAGGAATTAAAAACACCATATCACAATGATATTTGTACACCCATGTTTATAGCAGCATAGTTTGTCATAGCTAAATCTTGGAAATAGCCCAAAGGCCCATGAACCAAGGAATGGATAAAAATGATGTCATCTTTTTATGCAGTGGAATACTGCTCTGCCATAAGGACGTATAGACTTGAGACACGTCTAAGTAAATGAGTGCAACTCGAGACCATACTCATAAGTAAATTAAATCAGGCCCCATGTGTAAACATCACATTGTCTCACTAGTGTGAGAAACTAACGAGTAAATAAAATCCAAAATGTACAGTAGAAATTGTGAACTGGAAAGAAACTATTCAACAGAAAAGAGAAACTGGGATGAGAGAAAGGAAGGAAGGAAGGGAAAAGATGAAAAGAAAGAAAAAAATATACACAAGATGGTTAAGATAACCAGAGCTAGTTTCTCAGTTCACTGAAAAGAAAAGATTTGAGATAAAATTATTTGGGCAAAGATTTAAGTATTTCTTGCCTATACCTTGTACTCTGAAAAACTGCTGCAAAGATAATAATAGTCAATGTATTGTTACTGTCCTCCTAGCCTGCTTTGAAACTGTTTTATTATTGTTATTTTTACTTTTTTTTCTTTCTCTCTTTAAAATAAAAACAAACAAACAAACAAATTGTGGCTCCATGTGCAGCCAGTCTTCCTCAAGGGCCAGCGTAGAAGCACTGTGGAACACTCTTCCCAGGGAGCAGAGTGCTCCTGGGGAGACTCCCCTGCCTCACACAGGTGTCCTGACAGGATTCCACCTGCTGCCCCTGCTCCACTCTGCTCTTGAGCCACTTCATGGAAGTTGGGGACAACTTGAACCTCGTTAGCATTACAACTAGAGTAAATGCATTGTTGCCAGTTCTAGGATGCTTACTGGATCGTTCCTCAGATCCTTGAGAGTATTGTGGTCATGGGACAGATGGAGAGAAGTAACTGCACTCTGTTTATAGAAAAATCCTCTCAGAGGCTAAGAGAGACCTCAGCGCACCTCTGGTCAGTCTTTGCTTACTTCAAGCCTCGGTTTGCTCCTGCCTCTCTGAGTTCCCATCATACGGGAGTCGGTAGAATATAATGACCTTCAGTTCTGAACCCTGTGGGGTTGTTCTCTTTTGTCCATTGAGCAGGTCAGTCAGCTTACTTGTCTTTTGCCCACAGACATGTGAGTGGGAATATTCTGAGGCATTTAGAGCGAGGACATGGATACACTTGCTGGTACCAATCCTTAAAGTATTAGAAAATTAGCCTCAAGGGTAGGGGAGGAAATGGTACAAGGAAAGATGGAGCTTTGCAAATGAGAGAAGATTCCCAGTTGTGAATTTAAATGTGAATGAACAAAGTAGAAATGAACGAACCCTCTTCCTCTGTCTAGCCATACTTTTGAGGGTTTTGGAAACCCACACACAGTGTTGTCTGCCCTACTCTGACAGGCACCAACATCTAGCCTTGCTTCCCACTGTAATTGCCAACAAAATTAAAATGCTGATGAAAGCAAGATTAAGGCAAATTGTGTAGCTTTCTAAGTGCAGACGTGCTCTTGAATTGTGCTTATCATCCCATCATGATAATCGTTGAAAACTGAGGCAGGTTTTAGATTTGTGCACCCTTCTGCTGCCCTGTCTCTACTAAGCTTTCCTTCTTCAGTGTGTGGACTGAGTATGTGCCTGTATTTTGAAACCTTCAGCAGAAGAGACCATCAAGCAGCGCAAACCAGTATCAGGCCAAGCAGAAATTCTGCTTTGAGTGCTGTCAATTCTCTAATCCTTTTTTTAAGGCTCCTGCTGAAGGAAAAGGGGGCCCACCTTCGAGGGACTGAGGCTGCTGCTGCACATTAGCCATGCTGAGAAGAGTCATAAATTTTGGTTGTCAGCATTTTGCGTGGCTTTGTGGTGAAGGTAGTCTAGCTTTCATGTCATCAATGAAATATGTTAGATCCCATCTTTAATGTAGAAACCACAGTTGTTTGGTTACACTCTTTAAGGAGCTTGTGGTCAGTGTTGCAATATTCGTGTGAGATTTGGTACAGTCTTATGTTTTGTCCTCAAGAGAAACAATTTATTCTGAGGCTAAAGAGTATTTGCTTTTCCTAAGCAGTTTTTGAAGGCATGCATGTAAGACAGTGACTGCATGCACTCTTGTTTGGCATCTCAATGTTGCAAAAGGCATCTCGCTTTGCTATGGGCTTTTTGATATCATCATCGTCTGCTTTCAAAATGTTTGGTCAAATTAAAAAGATACAAATTAGAAAAGGAATTAGAAAAGGACTGAGTGAGTTTTTTTTAAAGTTGTATAGAACATTACAACCCAATATCATTCTTTTATGAGTTGAACACTCTCTCAGACTCAGGGATAGCTGCCAGGTAGCTTTGTTAGAATGATCCACTGACAGTCAGAAATTTCACAAAGCACTGACCCTTTGATTGCTGTCTGTTGGGAAGAATTCTCCTGATGGCTACAAATTAATAATTTTCTTGCTCAGATTTCAAAAGATTTTCAATGGTGCATCTTCTGTGGACCATTACTGACTTTGAGATGCAAAGAGTTTTACCTGGGGAGGGCAATGATTGATCTTATTAGACAGTTGTGTGTTCATAGATTAGCTTTGAGCTTGAACAAAGAAGTAATACTAAAATCAAATGAGGCCCACCCTTGAGCGGCTTCACCTTTACCAGAGGTGCAGAATGCCACACTTACCCTGGGCTCTCGAGTCCATCTGCTTCTAGAAAGGATCTCTTAGTTTGGTGGGGGGTGCTAAAATGTGGTGTTTCTTTTAGTTTTCACACCCTATAAGACAATAGGGTCTGGGTCAGTGAGATATCTCAGCAGTCTAAGTGCCTGCTTGGTAAGCACAGGGACCTGAGTTTGATCCCCGACACCACATGCCACACTGTCCTGCCCCCAGGCGCACTGAGCCAGCCACCAAGAAAGGGTATGGTGGCACACACCTGTAATGCCAGTGCTGGGGAGGCTGAAAGCAGGAGGATCACTATGGGTCTGAGCTGCATAGTGAGATTATGTACCAAATACAAGAGAGAGGGGGAGGGAGAGAGAGAGAGAGAGAGAGAGAGAGAGAGAGAGAGAGAGAGAGAGAGCAGGACCTCACAAATGCACAGGGAAAGACCTGCAAGGACAATGGTTAGCGTCAGTGCAGAGCTGGGAAAAGGGACCCCCATGGTGGTGTTGTGCTTCTGTCAGACTTGGGGATAGTTGCCAGACAGCATTGTCATTTTCTGGATGATGCTCTGGTGTCTGCAGTGTCTCCATCTCACAATCAAGGCTTCAATAGTGGGCTGGTGAGATGGCTCAGTGGTTTAAAGCAACTACTTAGAACAAGCTTAGCAAAAGCACAGGGACTGTGGTTCAATCCCCCAGCACCACATGCCAGCCAGCCCCGCCCCCTGGTGGGCTGAGCTGGCCACACACACACACACACACACACACACATAAATAAATAAATTTTTTTTAAAAAAAAAGGCTTCAATAGTGCCAGGCGTGTTGGGATGATCGGTGAATCATGGGGATAAGATTCATAGCACTTGGCACTATATCCTGCCATAAAACAGGGAGGTGATTTGTTCCTCTGAATAAAAAAAAAAAATAAAGTTTTTATTTTCTTTTAATACACAAGAAAATCTCTTTCTGTATAGAAGGTGAACAGAAAGAAGATGACAGTGTGCCCTCCTGGGGGTGTGACATGTTCTGTGTAGTACAACCAGTGATCAACTAAAAGTAGAATCAAGGGAAAGGATTATTTAACTACTTACATGCCTGTGTCAGTGAGCATAGGCATCAAAAGAAAAGAACAGAAATAGCAGTTAGCAAGGAGCCAGAGGACCCGGATTCTAGGCTCAGCTCTGCCAGTGAACGAGATGCAGTCTTTCCAAGATTTTGTTTCTCATCTATAAAATGAGAATATTGGAAAAGTCAGCCTACTGTCCCTCCCAATGCTGAAGTCCTGTGTTTTTGTAGGAAACCTGTGGCCTGTTGTGTAAGCTACACAGCTCTCACCTGTGTACTCCTGTGTTCCAATCAATGTAATTTCCTTTCTGAATAAAAAAAAAAAAAAAAAAAAAAAAACATGCTGTGGAGCATAAATTTGATTTTCTCAGTATTTTGACTGTTATAGAATTCAGAATTGTCTGAGCTGTGGAAGTATACTTGCTGCTTTTTTCAGTTACTTACTTTGCTCTAAACCGTGCCATGTTTGGAATTATCAGACAGCCCCTTAGGAGATTACTAGAGTTACTGCCTTTCTCCACTTATGCACTTCTAGTCTTTTAATAACTGGGGTTCAAAATTCCCTGACCAGTAGTTTTAATTTGCATTAAAAACAGATTTGTTATTTACAGAAGCACAAAGAATTTATGGGACTCAGCTCCAGCTTGGATCTCACCTAATCGTAGCCATGGAATCAATTAACAGTTCATCTGTGAAATGTGATAAAATCTTATGAGATACATATTGCCCAATAACTGAGAACGAGATGAAAGTATGCCTCATAATAGTAACGGGGCTTCAGGGTTTTACAATCGCCATTGAATAGAGTTCCATTAGAAACTCAGTATTCAGGATGGCCACAAAAACCCACACTGTGTCTGAACAGATGATAGAGCACCGCGTAATAAACCTGGCCAGCCATTCCTGCTTTGATTAGTTTCCAGCACCCTTGAAAAGGAGGCCGTTGAGTGTTCTTGCTCGTGGCAAATGAGCCTGGAAGGCTTGGGTGGGTAGGAGTGAAGGAAAAGATTGAGTGCAGAGCTATAAATTGCTGCAAAGCCGGTGCCTCCAAGAAGGGCTGCTTGGGAGGCCAGGCGTTCTGGTGTGCAGTGCGCTTCCAGGGTAGGGCTTGGTGATAGCTGGGAATCTGCTCTGGAAAACTGGAGACCATTTATCAATTATGTCTGTTTTTGTACAGTTGGTGGTTTATATTTTTGTATTAAATTCAACTTTAAAACGTAGCATTTTTAAAGTTCATATAGTCTCTTTTGTTTTACCCTTGAGAAAATTGAAAGTCGCAGATGCTGAATGTTCTCCTCATGATTACAAAGCCATCCTATGGCAGAATATGGATAGAACTGATTTTTCTGACCTTCTGTCAATTTAATGTGGACATATGACTGACTATCGTTAGTGCTACAGACTCTACATAGCACCAGTGTTACGTAGAATCTTTAAACATAAAGCGTGTGGATTTGTTTATGATAGAGAACAAGCTCAAGAAGTTTAATTTATACACCCCCTATGACTAGTCATGCTGTTTCTTCAGACAAATAAGTTGTGCCCAGCAGTCTCGCCCTTTTGAGCTGGAGTCCCGGGTGAATCTATGTGGGCACACACACTCTGAGGGCTGGGTCACATGGTAGTAACTGTGAGTCCAGGCTCCCACTTTAGGGACTAGACAAGTGGGAAGCTGCCCCTAGTGTTGCTCCCTGTTCACCCTAATGCCTTCCAAGTTTCTCAGCCTCTACTTTTCTCTGCTGTTTCCTCCTCCCTGTTGCAGTTTTCAAACAACTGTGAAATATTTTGGGATGAAGCCAAAGGCTGGTGAGAAGGAGGTCACCCCCAGCTATGTGTTTATGGTGTGGTACGAGTTCTGCAGTGACTTCAAGACAATCTGGAAACGAGAGAGTAAAAACATATCGAAAGAAAGGTAAGGATCTAATGCATGCATCTAAGAAACTCCCTCTTCAAGCCTCCCAGAGTATGTGGATTTCATACAGCTCAGTGTTTTCCTTAAGATGCAGTGGATAACTGGGAAGAATTTTCACCTCAAGGTTCCAAGGGCATTTGCCGTCTGCCCAAGCAGATATACTCATACAATCTGATAAGTTACACTTTCTTAACCCCTTCCAATTACTAGCTAGTAAATGAAAGGGGAGTTGTGCTAATTTGCAACAGATTGCTTCTCTGTGTATTTTCATGTTGGTCTAAGCTAAATGAGGCAGTCTTGCTGTCGCAGACAGTACAGACAAATAAAAGTGAATGCTTTTCCCATTAATATACTAAACTTGCATCAAAGGGAAATCTCCAAGGCTCAGGCCACACTTCACACAGTGTCGAAGCCCCGCGCTGGATTTACAGCGTCACTTGTGACTCCCTGAATCCTGCTGAGGACATCAAACTGCATGCCGCTCGGCCTCCGTGCAGCCTCCTGATTTTATTAGTTGGGGGTAGAAGCAAAAAATCAGTTCTAAATACAGGCTCTGTGTGTGTGTGTGTGTGTGTGTGTGTGTGTGTGTGTGTGTGTGTGTGTGGTGTGTATGTGTGTGTTGTGTGTGTGTGTGTGTATGTTTATTCTCCTTTTAGAGACTGATTCTGTTCCTATTTATCAGGGGAAAAAAAGCCTTTGTGCTTAATCATTGTACTAATCAAGTTTCCCTTGTTCTGTAGACTGTGTCATGGATTTAAACTTCCAATAGGTCCTGTCAACTAACTCTGGAGGAATAGATGTATGAGAATGTCACTCACAATGGCATGAAAGGAAATAAGAGGTTGTACCAATAAGTAAATTTATTATAGCACCTATATCTCATTAAAAACATATCAATTAAAAAATAGGTGTCAAATGACATTAGTAAGAAAATAGGTTGTTGACCATCTCATGAAAGAAATCTATAAATCTTGGCATCAAAACCAGTTTTACCCTATCATTGCTTACTTAGGCCTTTAAATTGAGATTATCTTCAGCTGGAGATTATCTTCAGCTTCATTCCAGAAGAACCATGGGGCAAATGAAGCTTCCTTCCTGGTACTGCAGGCTGGCAGCAGCTGGCCCTCCGGCTCTCCAGCTCCTCACTGCAATCCAGCAGTGAGCCCCTTGTGCACTTCAGACAGTGCGTAACCCTGGCGAATGTGTCCTTGGAACTCTAAGGAATAGTCCAAAAACAAAGAAAAACAACTACAAAAAGAAGCAGTAGAAAGGATAACTTACTGATTTATATTTTAATCATCTTTTGAAATACTTAACTGCAGTCCACATTAAGGAGTTTTCATATCACAGGAGAGCAAACTAGCTGCAGGTTTGCCCTAGTAGTGGGTCCAGCGTCCCTGGAGAGTTCTTGTCCCTGATTCGCAGCCCCAGGCCTGGGCCATGTTGCTGCCTGTGTGCAGCTGGTGAATTGCCTGCTTCGCACTCTGTAAACCAATGCCTCGAAAGGTCACGACTTCACATGGCTCTCTCCAGTTCTCATTTAGCCATTTCAGGGGTCTCTTCCTTTCAGCGGTGTTTTGTGAGATAGCTCTCCAAGGTTTTTAACCAAAAACAACATCTCTCAAAGTTAATGGGGGCTCATAAAATAGTTTTGGAAGCATCTTCTTTAAATAAATCTACTGTTAAGTAGTGTTCACATGTTCTGCATATTACTGTTCAACCAGGTTAACTGATTGTTATTCAGAATTTTGGGGGAAGTGAGGATTTCTATAATTGTAATTTATTTACTAAGGATTTTAGCTTTTAGACTAATAGAACAGCATGTTCATGAGGATGAAAGAAGCAAAGTAAATTCTGCTGTTACACTTAGATACGTAACTATGATTTCTCTGTTTTGATACCTATTTGATGATAATTGATACTAAATCCCAACAGTACTAAATGTCAAGTGATAACAAACATCACTAGCAAGAATGGCACAGAGGCATTCTAAAAACTGCACAAAAACCTGATAGAACTAGTAGAGGAAAAAGCTGATCTCATCAGAAGAAATTGAACTCACTTGATTTTTAGATGTATTGGAAGACCAACTAAAACCCAAGAAGTTATTGGTCAAAACAGTAGTATTTTCAAAGAGACAGATTCTACCACAATATTTTGCTTAAATTCCACTTCCAAATGAATTGAAAGTATTGGAAACTACTTCAGGCCACTTGTGGTTAATCTTAGGTAACAAAGAATATTTATTTTTTCTGTTCAGCCTGTATTTCCTGAGTTCACTTTAGCTTTGTATAAAAGGTGAATGGATGCACTTATTTAAGAAGGTAGCAACTACCCTCATCAGACCAAGAGCAGTCTATACACACAAATGAGAACAGAAATTCCCGATGTTGTTGTGCCCTGGAGTGAAAAATAAACTAGTATGAGCTGTGCTCTGTGGCTGCATGAGAAGAGACAGTATTCACCGGAGATACAGTTTACCTGAAAAGTACCTGCATCATGGGAACCACATGCTGCATGATAGTGTACTAGCAGTATTAAAGTTAAGCTTTCCTTGGCATTGAGGCCAGCCTTAAAGAAAAGGGCAGACTTCTGTGCTGAGGCACAGACCCCAGGGTCCTTCTCCTGGACTCCAGCCTGCACCCACGGTCACTATGCTCTCCTAGTAGCAAGACCCATCCCTGGGTAAAGTGCTGCACTCCCTGCCCTGTGCCTCTGAGCGCAGGCACTGCTCCATGGTGTGAAAGGAGAACTCCAGACAGAATCAGAACTCAGTCTTTTCACCCTTCACTCTGCCACTGGTTTGCTATTTGTTGGCCCAGTAATTTTTCATTGTAGAGACTCAATTATCACTTCTAGAAAAACGTATATATTAGAATGTTGACTGATCCCTTCTAGCTCAAAATCTTTCTATATCTATAGATCTAGACTCGGCTTTTCTAATATTCTGAGGACCTGCAAGCTTCATTTTTAGGTAATGCTTTCACTTTTTGCTCTTGAGTTTGTTGGCGCCTATATTGAAGAAGGCCAGGTCTGACAGAGCTATGGGAGGAAACTGGAAACAAGTGTTGTTGTCCTCTTGAAATTGGTGGTTGTCCAAAGTCACCGTGCCTCACCCCACCCCACCCTCAGTTCTTCTCCTGAAATACTAGCATTGGCCTTGACAACCACATTTTTTTAAGTTGAGAAAAATAATTTCCTCCTGTCATCCATGTCCAGTATTGCATTTAGTGGTGGTAACTTATGGCTCACCAAGAGTATAACATCCCCAGTTGTAGCTCTTATTCAACTTTAACTTTTCATGTACTTTTGTGCTTGTATATTTTGATATTAAAACACCCAGCAGATTGTGGGTACAGTATTTCCTACTACCTGTTAAATCTACAGGTTCATCATGTGTGCATAATTGCAAGGTCACTTAATACCTAATTTTTGCTGCTGGCCCGCTTTATAGTCTATTCTTTACTCATTTGCTGCTTTTTTTTTCTGATTTGCTCTGGGCTGTAGGACACTTGCTTATAAAATATTTCACCATTTAGGATACCTCAGGACTATGCCCATGTATGCCCATGTATGCCCACACATGTCCACAAACCAATGCCACCCACAAGATGAGCTATGAGTTTGTAAAAGGTGAAGAAGGCCCAAGACAGCACAGCTCCAGAAATAAATTCTGGGTGGATGATTCGTCCTGAGCCAAAACACACTTTAAATGTGCCATTTAAAAACCCATAATGTGTAAGTAATGAGTGAATTAGGAGTTTGGTGAATTTTATGTGAAGTGCAAATAAGAAATTTCATTATTCACATAGCTATAATTTACACTGTGGGGAATGGATAGTTACTTTTTGTTCTTTTAATGGGATTGAGCATATTCCCTGTAGCTGTTGTGGTTAATTACGTGGCGACTGAGCCTGGACTTTCTGAGCTGCTTCCAGGCCACGCCCAAAGCTGTGCGCAGCACTCCCTCCTGCTCCATGGCCTCAGGACAGAGAGCTGAGGACTCAGGCCTTCACTCGCTGGCCACAGAGAAGCCAGCCTCGCCCTGAAGACACTGCAGAAGCACAGCACTGCCCGCAGAAACCCACCCCCCCACTCAAGTTGTAGTCCCTGAATTCTGCTTCCGAATGGCATACCTAGGAGTCATTGCAGTAATTTCTAACAAGTCAGCTTTCTTTTCCCTGGTTATCCACTTTGTGATTAAATGCTTTATTTACCTAACTGCTAAGAAACTCCGTGCCCTAAAAACTTAACTTACAAACAGAATTATTGTATCTCCAAAAATAAAATCTGTTTATTTCACAAGCAATAAATTTAAAGCTACATTTGAAAAATTTGAGATATGTCATGAATAAAAGGGAAATAGACTTTTAAAAATGGTAGGAGTTATAAAATCACTGATTTTGTAAAAAAAAAAAAAAAAAGAAAGAAAGAAAGAAAAGAAACAACCATCTTTTTTCTAGAAGCTATCATCCATCTCTTTTCCCTTTTAGCTTTTAAAAGATGAGTTTATATTCATTTTCTCATTGCAGTCCTCCTGTATCAGTAAGGGTAACATCATGAATGCCGTAATGAAGGCCAAAATACTTAGAGGAAAAAACAATTTTTCTCTTGTACTGTAAGTTGGCTATGAGTCTCTACACCGAGGACCCAGTTTCCTTCTCCTTTGTGTCTGTCATCCTTAGATGTAGTTCTTACAAGATGAAGGTGGCTCTTATTTGCAAGGTGCTGT